GAAATGAACAGTAGATGACCTGACTATCCTGATAAGAGATCTAAACACCAAGGTTGAAATGACCTTCGTTGAAATGAGCAACACAGGATGGAAAGATATTCTATGACGGCATGAGGTGAGCTCAAGGAGTGAAAACGGTGAAGTATTTGTAAACCTACGTGTTTTGAAAAAAATGGTTCTAGGTGGAGCGATATTCCCCTGCGAACACATAGATCTACGGACCTTCCTATTAATGTCACCCCACCAACAATGTAAGAAATCAGCATCGCCATCCAAACGATCCAGAGTGTCAAAGGAACAGAGTCAAACGATATTCTAGCTGAAGCATTGAAAATAAACTTATGAGTAACCTCTAGTATGTTCAGCCCTACTTCTACAAGATTTAGGTGAAAGAAAGTACCTATAGACTGGGAAGAAGGACACCTCATCAAGATAAAAAAGAAAGGAGATTTCAGCAAGTGTGAGAACTATCGAGCCATCGCTGTACCATCAATACCAGGAAACGTCAGCAACAGAGTGCTATTAAACCGAATGAAAGATTCATTAGACGCCGAAATTCGGAATCATCAGACTGGATTCTATAAGGATCGATCGTGTATACACACATAACAACAAATTCAGGTAAAGACGGCCATTGTACAGCAGCCTCTGCAGCAGTAGGTCTCAATATTTGCAAAAGATAAAGTAAGATTCTATGATGCAGCACAAAATGCACCAAACAAATCACACTTGATAGAGAAGTTTTGAAGATGTGGAAACTCGTATACACTAAACAGCATCACTGATAAACAGGGTGGATCTGATGCAGATTTAAAGAAATGGACTGACAAATCCAGGGTAACATTTTTAAAATCGAGCAAAATCTGGAACTTAAAACAATTATCAACCAACACCAAAGTGGCAATTTTCAGTACGAACGTCAAAACAATTCTACTGTATGAAATGGAAAGTTGCAGAACTATCACAAGATACAAAGGTTTATTACCAGATGCCTGCGTAGGATAATGAGGATTTGTTCATGAGACACGATGAGCAACAACAAGGAAAAGAGGTAGACGTAAAACACATTGTGCTGAAAATTGGAGAAAGACATGAAAAAATTAGATATAAGTCGGAAACGACTTGAAAGGAGAGTCCAGAATAGAATCGGTGTGAGAATGTGGATCGGCAACCAGTGCCCTATTAGAGGTAACAGGCGTAAGTAAACAGGTAAGCAATGAACAAACAATTGACTATAACCTGTTTTACATACGAAAAATATGTGAAACTAGCTAAACGACATAATAATTAGCTATTTACTAGGGAATGAGTTGACACAATTTCCACTAAACGACATAGAACACCTGAATCTTCTTGATTCCCATTAAAATGGAATAAATAACATTTGAATGTATCATATTTCCGTAAATTGTCAAAAAATAACTTCACTATCTACGTAACAAATAGCGGATATGATTTCTTTGATTAAAATAATAAGTAACACTGGCTAAAATGTGATACAACTGAAAATGATTCTTTTGTTTACTAGATCTAGGCATACAACAATAGAATAGATAATGCTAGTGATTTACATTTGAATTATTATATTCTTGTAAAGAAATACACTTACATAATGGTAAATATCTAGGTGTTGACTAACTATTTATCATCTCATACCATTAAATATTCACTAAAATCTGTTCATGGGATCAATTTACTTTCTATTTTAGATTGCGATTTCTCATTGAAATTTCACTGGAGCCTTTAAAATACTTAACAGATTGTATAAATAACAGTACAGTAAAAAAAAATTATATTTAACTTTGAAATTATTTTCTGAACAAGTTTAATTCAGAGAAATAGTAATTGTTACTTGATAAGATCCTATTGTATCTACCAAAAGACATGTTGATTTATTATTCCCACATAAAATCTCATACTCTCCAACTCCAGTATAATGCAAAATAGATCAATCAACACGGCTTTATAACTAGAAAACATAACTTTCCACTAAAACCGCATCACTAACGTTGAATCATCAGGTAAGTTATGAGATAAGAATAGTGATTAAATGAAGCTTCGTCAATTTAGATGGTCGAATAAATGATACTTAATTAGTTAATTTACCATGACTTTCTTGGGTCATTTATAAATTTCATATTTATATGATCAAGTTTTCTCTTATAGTTTTCATCGAATCCTTTATCTTACCTCAATAAAATTATACGGACTAGGAAATTCTAAAGTGTTAATTGGCTTCATTTGAACAAGGAAAAATCATAAACATCTCTGTCAATAATGTTTATATATACATACATACACTGACCATAAAAAGCAATAACTACTGAATAAGTTCACTTAAATATGACTTCAATTTCCCTGAAATGAAGTGTTTAAAGTGTATGTATACATATATTAGACTGTAAATTTACCCACATAAACACTCGGTCAAAGGTCAAGCCAATGAAACCACTAATAGAAGATGAACTAGTTAAAGTGGTTTTAAGAAGATTATTTTTCGCGAGTCCACTGACATGTTTCCCAAAGAATTCGAACCCAGTACATATTATGGCCTAACATTTGATGTGAAACTTGAAAAATATGAGGTTAGCTATTCGTCAGAAAGAATCCTACACTCGAACGCTGAGGGTGTCAAGTACACAGTGGTTTTCAGCGGTACCTCAACATAAGACAGATACTGCTCAGAGTTGAGCTATGCTTAACCATTGCAAAAACTGACCAATGCAAGATCGTAAATTTATTCAATTAAAATCAGTATAGTACAGTAAAGCTCACACCCTCTCAAAAGACAATTATTTAAGGTCAAATTGTTCATGGGTGTGAAAAGTAAGAACATAGTTTCAATAGTTTGCTTACACTCTTGTACCATTTAAATAGTATTTAAATGAACCTATTAGCCTTGATAATTAGTTTCACAGTTTACGTGAAGTATCATTTATTTATACAAATATAGATTTATGAAAATGAATTCACTGTGAAGAAAGTGTTAGTTGATAAACTGATGTTTCACTTTTACAATTGAAATATTTTTAAAATTTATTCATTCCAAGTTATATTGTTATTCAGCTCTAGTGTATAGTTAACGAATACAGTTTAGAAGATAAATTTTCGACATTTTTATTTTGTCAGTTAGAGTTTTGGAGATTTGTGTTATTACACATTGAAATCATCAATCAATCATTGTTAGAAAACCATTAGAAACCTGGAAGCACTGGACGACCGTTTCGTCCGGGCATGGGACTCATCAGCAGTGCGCATCCACGACTCCTGCACCTCACACGATTCAAACCCGGGATCTTCGGTATTGTGCGCGAACGCCTAACCATCGAACCACTGGGCCGGCATCCAACGGTGTTAATGTCTAACTCTGATTGATCTAGGCATTTTGCGTGACCTCACCCATTTGTCTTTGGTAGTTACTGCGTACACTCGACAGGGTTGAACTCCATTGGTCACGTCTTCTCCCTAGAACTCCGAGAATTGCCTAACGAAGCTAGTCACTAGTGAGCACATGTTACGATATTTTCAGGCAGAGCTTTGGAGTTTTGTGTTTTTGCACATTTGAAATCATCAACCAATCATTGTTGGACCACCATAAACGTTTGCCAAGGATTAAATATAAAAAATATCAAAGTATTACTTGTTCCATTTTCAACATTTCAGGAACGTTTATTTATCTTCATTTACTAATTAGTAGTGAGACGACTTTTGTTTGAATAATGAGTCACCCGTATCTGTCAAAATTTAGTTAAACGAATATTTTCTGATATGTTCCTTTGAATCTCTTTCAAAGTATACTCAGCTCAGGGAGGCGAATATTTTTTTAAATATATCCATTGAAAACATTTTACAAAATCTGGACACTAAAATATCTTAGATTTTAGCATTGTTCTAAGTCTTAATTATATTCATGCTCCTGTTTTTTATCAGTGTTTTTACTATATGAATACAAAGTACTTGAATCACAACTCATCTCAAAATGTATTGTCGGAAAGTGTTTTCAGAGGTTTGCAACAGTTTTAGGAGTGAAGAAACAGATAATCCAAACCCGGCTGATTTATAATGTTCATTAACTTTGAAGGCACAAGAAAAATTTTTAGCATTCTTAAATCAATTTTCATTACACTTAGTGTGATGAAGAATATTACATACTTTTCAGACAAAATTTAATCAGACTAAAGACTTCTAATATATGAGATAATGAAAACTAGTCGGTAATATAGATCTATTGCTTATGAATGCTGTTCAATTCATTACTTAGTTTATTCTATTCAAAATTTTTTTTTTTAATTGTGGATTTGTGATGGCCCATTGCAATTTTGATACTTTGTATTTACGGCGACTAGTATTTCATGTTTTCACGAAACTTCATGAAGTTTTACCGTCACATATTGTACACAATATTAATCGACTCATGAACATGATTAATTTATTTGATAGAATACTATTTCAACACCTTCCTAAACGAATACATGTGACATTTGTTTGAATCAAGGTTACGTAAACCTCCGGAAGCGTTTGTATTGGTTTAAAATGATCAATCACATTTTTAAATCTTCTAATTGGACAGATTTTCAACCAATCACATTACAAAATGCGTCCAACCAAATTGGCAGCGATTGAAAAAACATGATTCAATGTTGTTTTTTTGGGTCTTAAAAATCATCTTTATTCATGTCATTCAATATTTCTATCAGTGATAATGTTATATCAAAGTATTTTGTAAAAAAAAAATTCACACATTAATGCACCTGCATTATTTTATTTACACAAATATAATGGAATATTTACATATAAGTTCAAAGTACAAAAGAATCTAAAATTCGAGTGGGTACATAAAACTAGGATCTGTTTTAACATATTTTTTTTAATTGAATCAACTGAACAATTCTAATTAAATGAATAATATGAAATAAAATATTGATGAAGTGTTGTATTTGTCAAATTGTAAACCTATACTCATGTGATTGGATATAAATACCCATTTTGTAAATAGATAATCAATCTAGACAAATTAAATCAGACAGTTATTGAAATAATTAAGAAACAAGAAAAAACATGGGACTTAATAATTATAATCAATATTGTATGCTTATTACATTGTTCATTGGATTAGTGCGTAACACAGGTAAGTAATTTTATTTTTGATGTTCTAGTTATGTTATTTTTCTTTTGGTTATTTTATTTATTTCAGTTGATACTAATCGACTTGTTTCTTTTTGAACTCTAGTTTTGATGTAATTTCAATGTACATAGATATAATTCGAGAAGTATAATTCAGTGAGATAAATTTAGAAGGAGAAAGATAGAGATAATGGGGAATGCAGAAGCTTAGAATTTCATAGAACATAAAGAGTGGATGCACCTGAGCCATTGCAAACGATTTTGAGCCATGTCGTTCAAGGTCTCTAACTATCGGTGACTATCGTCTCGTGGACCCCAACCAGATAGCCTACATCTACCAACATGACTCAGTCCACTTGTTAGTGACTTCATGGATTTGTGCCATGTTTTGGTTTGGCTGCCCCTAGCTTTCTTTCAACCAATTCCTACACTGCAAAACATAGCTCGTCGCGGCTGTCGGTGGTTAGCGATACTTAACGCATGTCCCAACCACCTCAACTGATGAAGTTTCACTACTTCAGTCACTGACATTAGTTCAGATGTGATTTTTACATCCGATGTTCTCTTTTTCCAATATACCCAATTTCCTTCAAACTATTCACTAAAATTTTGACAACTGTTCATGATAAACTGTTATTAAACTATGTGTCTGCCTAATCCAAATGTCGAGAAAATTTTTATCTTTAGAACTAGAGCTTAAGAATGAGTGTAATTAGTAATGATCCGATGGTTTATAGATTTGTAAGTATACTGAATACAATTTCTCATTGTATATTTATCCAATATAACCAGTTAGGTAACATGTGTAAATACCATATTTTATTGAAACATTTTCTCACACAAAATAACTAGATCATTAAATTAATACTAATATTCTAAATTATGAACTAAGCTTAAGAATAAATAATACGACCTGATAGAGTGAAATAAATAACTGTACTATACAGGTCCAGTTACAATTTACATAAACTAAATGAATTGTAACATTTTCCCGCCTGAAAATCAATTTAAATCGAACAGTATCCATTTTATTATATTGTACAAATAACATTCTTATAAGATTCATTAAAAACTTTTTTATTCTAAACTACAATGTATAATTTAAATACAAAATATGAGTATATGCTTTTAGATTATTGGACACCTATGAAACAAGTAATTAATTTTATTGAAAATCTGTATACCAGTGATATTTATGCTTTAAAGCTCTAGTAACCATTGAATGAAAAATAAAATAATAACCTTTTTGTATTGCTATCATAATTTAAATCAATTCATTTATCAAATGAATTATACCAATTACGTCACATTATTAAATGTTCAATATTTCTGCATAGTAATTTTTCATCGCATACAAAAAAAACTGACTGACTTATACAGAAAATACCTTTGCCCATTCTTATTATAAAATTTGTGTTTCTAATAACTTTTACATTTACTGAATTTCCATAATGTTAAAAATGATAATACCCAAACTATCGCATTTATTATATACACCAATTTGAGAATTATACGATTTCGCCAAACTTGATGAATATAAATATCGATTATACCCTTTTTAAAAAACGATGCATCCATCAAAATCATACTCTTACACCAAATTTTAAACTAAACCATACACTTATAGGAAGGTTGGAAATCGGTTTATTCATATCTTTGATATTTTTTTCAACATGTCTTCAACTAACTATTTTTTTCAAAAAAATATTTATTGTTTATTTAATTTATTTATAAAATAAACAAACCACTTTCCTCTTTTTACACATTATAATTCAAATCTAGAAATGTCAAGTTTTATGAATAACAAAATTGATGCGATTGAAACTGCGCACATGAATGTCAGCTCCCAAATCCCCCTATTGATCTTTATCAAACTAAGCTTTTTTAAAAGTTCATGTCGGTATAAATTACTGAAAAGCAAATCATGCAATTGAACCGATACCATCATGAACTAAATGGAAACTAACAAATCAACTGACATATGAATAAATTTCTACAACAAATGGTGTAGCTGTTTATCAAACTGCATCACTATTATTTAAAATGATATTTATTGTGGAGCTAAGTAGTAAGAAATTACTTCTTTTTGGTAGCTCTTGGTTTTATTCATTCTGGGCCTTTATGTTATATAATTTTCAAGAGGACTGATTGTACGTCGCTCTTTCGAGCACTATTTAAAAGATTATCTTCTCCATTATGGAATCGGTTTGTTTGTGTGTATAAAATAATATAATAACTATTCCATAGTTCCCACTTTGTTTCACCTATGTAACGATAGGTATTATACTTCTTTCCAACAGCAAAAATTACCTGATTAATGCTAATTTCACAGCTTTTTATTTCATACCATAACAAAGTTTCCACTTAGGAAAATACCAGTCAGTAGATTCGAGGAGATTAAATTGAATATCTTAATTACCTTGTATTATACAACTTGTTATCACTCTACATAATGCATAATAGAATGGTAGAATTTCATAGAATAACTTTTCCACAATTAAACCACGATGAAATATATTTTTTCTGTAAACAATCAACTCATCTTTTTCTACGGCATTTCGTAATCAAAGAATTAATCTTTAACAGATCTCAAACTGACTACAATGGCTAAATTTCTCTTTAATGGCAAACATCAGTGGTTTTGACTAAATGCACAATGATCAATTTTGATTATGTATATATATATATATATATATATAACTAAAGAATACGGTTGTTTCACACTGCAAATTTATGCAAGATTCTGTGTAGTAAATATTGTATGTGATATAGATACGCTATTTTTATTTTAATGCAGTTGTTATTTGTAATTATTAAAGTTATTCATAAAAAGTATTTTTTTTTAAAATCAGTTGTTATCTGAAACAATTAAAACTGTTGTTCAATTCAATGTACAATAGCAATTTGATAAATGTTACTTTCTGACGAAGTACTGATTTCGTTTATTACTAGCTCACAATTTTTGTTTTTGGTAGAAGAGACTTTGAATTTTTTAATTTTACGTGACGGACTGGCTTTATTAGAAAATCATTAAAAACCAAAAAATCACTCGATAGTTATTATTCCTGAAATGTGACTCCTTGGGAATATGATTTAATAATCATGGGCTTTCAGACCTTCACGACCGGTATTTACCATTTAAACCAATGGATAAGCATCCAGTCGCTTAGATTTCTATCTTCAGTCCTCTAGTGACATTTCTCCATCATCGTCATTTTCCATTTGTAACAGCTGTTGTATACTACATGCACATGAACTCCATTCGCCATGATCTCTTACTAGGGTATGGAGATTTATGTCTCTAGGTCAGTCATCAGTAAGAAAATATTGATTTCTAATAAAGATAACTGTTGATGTTGTCTGTTTACATTATTTATCATTACCTTCATTAACTATTCAGCACAACAAGCAGTTAAATTTCATTTATTCACTTCCCATACCATTTTGAAAATACTGTTTATTCAATTTAAAAACAGTTAAAATATTTCTATTTCGCTCCATTTATCTTCCTTCCATTAGTTTGTGTAAATAATAGTATTCTCACAATAAAAACAAATATATCGATATTATCATATTCAATATACATTTTCAAAATGAACGATCAAGTGAATAGAAAAAAATAAACATTGATCAAGTCACACATACACACACAACAGCATTGTTTTAAAAAAAAAATGTAAAAGTCCATAATTCATTCTATTAGTAGTTAAATTTTACAAAAAACAATTGTAATTTTAAACAAACAACTAGTTAGTTTAGGAAGAATTATTCTCTTTAATCATTGAAAGTTATTCTATACTTCTAGTATGACCATTGAAATAAATTACCAGTTTGTTCATATACGGAATAAAAGAGTAAACAGGAATTTGTGGTAAATTACTGAATTTAGAATACCAATAGCTTGTGTGGCAACATTTTTCTTGAAAACTCCACGTATACATACATATCCATAATTCATTGTTATATTAATATATAATATATATATATAATATATATATTATACATATATATATATATATATGTATATATATAGGTACTAACGTGCTTGTTAAATATTTGGGTGTAAATATATGCTCATAGGTTGAGGGGTGCATAAATGTGTTCAAAGATAGAATATATTGCTCACAACTGCTTTTTTCTTTATTTCTCACCAGTGAATTATTTAAATGACAATACAATACAAAGCCATTAAAATTGGTCGGTTTTTAAAAAGACAGTTTACAGAATTGAATACTACTGTCATTTGTACATTTTAGGCTTCTAAATAAAGTATTAGAAATTCAAGAACAATTACTGTTAACTAGATTTTCAACTAAGTTTAATAACTCCCTAAAACTTTAATTTTCACTGGTGTTTTCAGCTAAGATCGTTTTCTTTTCAAATGTGCAGAGTTTTTGCATATGCTTCAACCATTTTGAAAAGTTTACGTTCTTGCATTCCATCGATCCGACGCAAGAATCAACTAGATATCAGTGTTTTTAACTTCAAGTTTTATCAAAATGTTAACCTCGAGTAATTTTTTCTCACTGAATTTTTATTGAATAAACGGTTAACTGGTGTACGAAAAACTCAGTTGCCAATGCACTCTACCTGTGCAATACAATTTCAATAGAAATAATTTTCATATTTGAGCTGATATCGTGTGAAGCTATTGAAAAGTATTTTGCACTTTTGACTATGAATAATTTAATGTTAACGAGAAATCATTATAATAATTCGCTGCAAGATTTTTATTCATAAAAAATTCTGAAAACCTATTCAGTCAGTCAGATGCAACGTAGAACTTCGTACGTAAGTACATCAGTTCATGTTGCCACACCACATCAGCACAGAGATATAATTGTAAATTCAAATCCAAAACCTATTCACCATTTACTATACAAAAGAGAGAGAAATAAATATTTCACATCCTTGTAACTCTATATACTAATTCCTAATTTACTTTAGGCTTAACCGTCTCTTCTTTTCAACTTATGTAAATTGATACATAAATACATTCGAGAA